CATAAATAAATGTAGGCCCGGTGCATTAGATAGTTTCATGAATATGATAATAATATGCTATCTTTTTTTTGAGAAACAAACTGTAGAATTTTTTTTTTTAAATTAATGGAAAATAAAATAATGTAACTAATTTAGTGATATTTGATTAAAAACTTACATTTTCATCTTAATATTTATTTTTCAGTTTATTGCTAAACTTTTAAGTAAATAAATAAATAATCCCAGATTTCTGTGATGTCCTAGTGCATTTTTGTAATATTTGCATCAATATGATTATAATCATTAAAAACTTTTTAAAAAACATTAATAAATTACTAATCATTTTCATCTTAATATTTCATTTCGGTTTATTGAAAAAGTAAATAAATAAGTAATCCCATTTTTTATGTGCTCCTAGTACATTTTGTAATATATGCATCAATATGATTATACTATAATCTTTAAAAACAAAAACAAAAAACATTACTAAATTACTACCAATTTTCATCTTAATATATATATATATATATATATATATATATATACACCATATTTTTTATGATAAGACTTTTTTCATTTTACATTTTCACAATCCTAAAACAAGGTTTAATTGAGAAATAAAATTAAACAATATTTTTAATGTGGTCTCAGTGCATTTGATATAATTTGCATGAATATGATTATAATATATCACTGTAAAAATTATTGTGATTTTAACAGTAAAGGACTGTAAAAATGCTACAGTAAAAACCTGTTAACTGGTTAACAGTAAGTTTCCATACTATATTCGGTGAATAAATGTAATTACATTTAATGTAATTTTACAGTAAAAAATTACATTAAATGTACGGTTTTTGGAAGTGAAAAAGAAAAAGTCATTGTATAATTTACAGTGAAAAACCGTAAATTGACACTCCCAGAATTCCCTGCATGACACTTCATATTTGATGTTTTTTTGTTGAAATAACATGTTTTTTCTTCGTTTTTTTCTTATCAGTTGTGTACATTAGGGTTTAGTCTTACATCTAATGTTGTTAAATCAATGTTTATTGCACTACTTCAGTATCCCTATATTTTTTACGGTGAAGTTCTGGCAACCACAGCTGCCGGTATTTTACCGTAAATTTCACAGATTTTTTTTTTTACAGAGTACATATCTTTGAGAAATAAACTGTAGAGAATAATTTGCATGATTATTGCCTCTCATTTACTGATATTTGATTAAAATATACATTTTCATCTTAATATTTGTATGGCAAATCTTTTTTGCATTTGAACATTTACATAATCCTGAAATATTGTTTATTTCCAGGTTAAAATCAATCAATCCAGACTTTTTAAAAGTAGTCTCAGTGCATTTGCTATAATTTGTGTGAATATGATTATAATATACAAAGTATTTTCTGAGAAACAAACTAGAGATTAAGTTGCATAATTTAAAAGTCACACCTGAAAAAGATTGTTTGTCTTGCTATGCAAATTCATAAAACCTTATTCAAGATTAAAGTCATTATTTGTGGACTTAAAGATCAGAAACGACTCACTGAACTGCTTTGCACTGAGATCAAGTTCAGTCCTGCTGATATCAACAGACTCCAATAAAAAAGATTTTTAATTTAAAAGTTTTAAAGTATTTTATCCACTTAAAACAAAGTTTACACCTGACGAAATGCGTTACTTTGGACAAACCTGTTTAAAGTGATGCACATGTGCAATTATAATATTTACATGTTGAGATAGCATGACTTGAGTTTTATAAAAACTCAGAGGTTGCTTTTATTTATTGTGTTTTATTCACATTGCAAACTTTCTCTCTGATATTTAAGGAGAAATAAAGACAAACACATTGAGTCAGAAAGTCTATATTTGCTCTCCATTTAACCTCATTGCTGTCTTAGAGAAAAAAAATGAAGATAAACAGACAAAAGTGGTCTATATTTTGGGAGATCTGTGTTCATCTCTTGAGCTTTTCTTGAGCTGCAAGCTTTAACAAAGTTTCAGTCTAACTCCAATAAACTTCGGTCTAATACTTTTAGAGAGAGCTCGAGCAAACCTTTGGGCTACTTGAAATTGGAAAAGAAAATTTGTGATTGGCGTTTTCACACACATATGAAACGGGCCGCAGTCAAATATGCCATGCATTAATAATGCCATCTTTTTATCAATAGTATATGACTCCCCGCCTGGATTGAGCCGATCCATGCATATCCAAGACAATGAACCTATATGAGCATTAAGGTTGAATCAAACACTTGGAAAAGAGAAAGAACACCTGCTGAGGGAGAAAGAGGCTGTGTTTGAAGTGCCTGTGCTTCATCAAATGGATATAAGCTCGGAAAAGATGAAGATAAACTCGCTTGCATCTCAGGAGCTTGTTTGAAACACCCCTTTTTTTTCTGTAAGTGATGCAATCACTTAAATGTTCACCTGCAATTGCTACAAAAGCATCCCCCGTCCAATCAGCACAATCCCAGACAGATTTCCTGCGTGTAATCCCATGCATCCAGTCTTTTCAGCGAGGAAACTCCTGCTGAGCTCCTTCAGCCCAATTAAACCCTCATGCCAGGCCTCCATCAAAGCACTCGAGCGGCTTGTGCAAATGAAGCGCTATCATGGAAACAATCGCATACAGAGCGAGGACCGATTATATTATAGCGGGAGGGAGTTTCTCTTAGGAGTCACTTTCTAAACGCTCCCATTATTCCTATTTCCGGAGCGTCTGAATGTCGTGACGCTGGAAAATGTTGCACTTCCTGAAGCTCGAAGAATGGTAACAGAGTAAAAAAAGTCTCCTGATGTGGCCAGCTTTGTCGCTACTGGATTAATCTCTGGAGGTTAGAAGATAGAGCAGCTTATTTTAAGGGGATCAATGAAACTTAAAGAATGTCTAATGCCACTTTAGAGTCGGAGGCCTCGAGGCGCCGAATCCAGAGAGTTCAGAGGAGATGGTGCGTCACAAGGACGCTGAGGAAAACTGCGGCTAAAAACTTTAAAATGTCAACTTTTGCTGCAACACACTCTGACTTTGGCTCTCGTTCACCAATGAACAATTCAGACCACAAAACCAAAGGCAAAAGTTACATTTTGCATAAAAAAATGGGGGGACAACGTTATTTTAGTTAACTAAAACCCAAAAAAACCTTGTAAATTAAAATCAATTTGAACTGAATTAAAAAAAAAAATGTACTTGTATTATTTCAGTTAACAGTTACCAGAGCAACATTTTTCATTTCCATTTAGTTTAACTTGACGTACTAAAATAACTAAAACTAAAACATATGATTAAAAACTATTTAGACATTTTTTTAAATCTTAAATTTAAAACTAAAATTAAAATGCAAACAAAATATTTATACAAACTTAATTTACAAAATAGGATCTCACATATACTATAATAACACTGCTTAGGGACTATTCAGAAGTTTTACATTATTTCTGTGAAAATGTACCATATTTTCCTACTTTTTTTTGTTTTTGTATTTTAGGTTGTTTTTCATTATTCTCAAAAGGGATTCGATATTTTTTACAATTCTGTAATACAGTGTTTCTTATTAAAACATTTTTTAAATTAAATTAAACTATAAATTGTATGTATGCTAAAAGTTTGGTGTCTGGACTGGAAGAAATTTATATTTTTATTCAGCAAGGATGCATTAAACTGATCAAAAGTGACAGTAAAGACATTTATAATGTTACAAAAGTTTTCTATTTCAAATAAATACTGTTATTTTGAACTTTCTATTCATCAAAGAATCATTAAAAGAATATGTACAAAAATATTGTGCAGCACAACTGTTTTCAACATTGATAATAATCAGAAATGTTTCTTGAGCAGCAAATCAGCATATTAGAATGATTTCTGAAGATCATGTGACACTGAAGACTGGAGTAATGATGCTGAAAATTCAGCTGCGCATCACAGAAATAACTTATATTTGAAACTATATTCGCGTAGAAAACAGCTATTTTAAATAGTAATAATATTTCACATTTTTTACAGCATTATTTTTGATCAAATAAATGCAGCCTTGGTGAGCAGAAGAGCCTTTTTTAAATAAAAAAATTTTACCAACCACAAGCTTTTTAACAGTATTGTATATGTGATATATCATTTTAATTGTATTTTTAACAATAGCAATATTGCAACAATATTGCTTTTCGTAAGAAAGAATAAAAAATGTTTTTTTTTTATTGCAATAATGAGAATTGCCTCTGAGAATGCATATAAGAATTAGAATAAGAATAATGAGAATAAATATTTGTGACTTTCTCCTCACGCAAAAATAAATATCAAAATGAGTTTAACTGAGCTAAACTGTTTCTGTTCCTAAATCCTGAATAGCAGGCTGGGCCATATCCTAGTCTTTATCACATGAGATGCCCCTATAAGCATCTCTTTGACATGTAAGCATCTGTTTTGCATGCAAGAGTAGATTCTCCATGCAGAATGAGGCCGTTATCACGCTTGACAATGGAGAAGATGCAGGGCTTAGGATGGTCTGCCCAACCCCACCCCGCTATTAATACCAAAGAGAACAGCAGCATTATAGTGTAAAAGAGTCCTCGAGTATCTCTGTTTATTCAGTCTGTTTCTGAAGAGAGCTTTCAGCCCAGACACAGAAAGAAAGTCTTTTTTTATATACAAACCAAAAAAAAATGGTACAGAAACTCTGAGGCTCAGAAATTGCTAGTAAATTTCACTAAAAGTGACAAAGGAATGGCAAGTAACACATGCAGTTTTAGAAAGACTGAAATAGTATTTTCTTCTCTAATAATCTTTGTATTATTTACAACTTTGAAAAAGCAAACACCGTGTAGATAATTGGAGTCTTTAGAAGTTTTACTAAAAATGAGCTTGAATTAATATTAGAAAATAAATACTATGTTTTATACCAAAAAAATGTTACAAAATTAAAACTTCAAGTCATTTTTGCACCTAAAAGTTCATAGTTCATAGCCTCGGTTTACTGGGATGCAATCTAATTTTCGGCGCCCATGATAAATAGCTTAATTGAAGTCAGTAAACAGTCAGTCATCTCAGTTATTGATGCGAGTTTTAATTAGATGAGACAAATTCATTCGCTCAATCATACAGAGTGTTACAGTACATCACCAGGCAACTCAAGAAGGTCAAGATAGTCACGGAGATTGATTGGCTGGATGATTGTTTATATAAGATAAGAGAAAATAGCCGAAAGGTCAACAATCACGGGCTATCTGAGCATTATCTGCCTCTCTCTCCTCTGACGAGCACAGCAAACCAAAGCTCCCAGCACAGATGAGGAGAGAACTTGACTTTAAAACAAGCGCATTGTTCAGATGACGTGCATATTTTAAAAGCAAAACAGATGCAGAATATAAAAAGTCACTTCACTTTTAGCCAGTGCGTTCTCTTGTATAACAAATTCATACAGAGACATAGAAACAGACAGAATTCATTTTGGCTCGGCTGCGCACTGACACACACACACACACACACACACAATATATGTTCAATATAAATCCTATGTACATTTTCCTTCACTAAACAGTTGCTTTTAACACAGCCAGTTACACTTCCACTGGAAGCAAAACGCATTTCAGTGCCACCAATAAATGCTGCCCTTAATGTCAAAGAAAATCTTGTTCGTATAGTCTAATAGAGCATTTATGTAGAAAACCTAGTTAAGAAAACTAACTGCCAGTAGAAATGGTAAAATAAAGGCAACAAACATGACGACTGAAGAAGACAACGTTCTGAGGGAGCTTGAACGGTACCACCGAACTTCCTGAGAGTCGTCTGAAAGAAGATAATAAAAAAGATAAATGCACTCGAAATAATATACAGGAATGTTATTTGAAGAAATAGCAGACGGTCTGAATAATCATCTGCCATCAGGTTGAATCAAGCGCTAGTTGTTATTTGAAGAAATAGCAGACGGTCTGAATAATCATCTGCCATCAGGTTGAATCAAGGGCTAGTCAGTGATTCACAGCTCTGTTAGGGAAGCGTTGGAGGTGAGAACTTCTGTCTATTGTTGTTTATCTCCAGCTAAACCAGTTACAGGATGTTAAGAGTGTGTCTGGCATCATGTTATCATCCTTCCTCACTGGAATATAATGAGAAATGACAATAAAACAGGCAAAAAGCACTTTCTCACTCGTCATTTTTCAGTCCAAATATCTAAAAGTTCTTAAAGATAACTAGATAAAAAAATTGTATTACAAACATCTAAACATTCTTAAATCTAGATACATTTACTTGAGAAGCAAAATAATTAGAAAAAATAATTAGCAAATTGAACAAAAATAATACATAGTTCATTTTTCTGACCCCATGCACTGGCAGATATTTTCCTTTTTTTTTTTTTAAGCATAAACTTTTAGGAAACACGACTTAATATATTATGTCATATATATATTTCAAGTAAATGTATCTGGATTTAAGAATGTTTAGACTGAGTGAGAAGGTCATTTTAGGGGCCTTTTTTAAGGAAAGTTGATAACATGATGCCAGACACACTTAATATCCTTCAAGGTGCTGTAACTGGTTTAGTTGGAGATAAACAACAGCAAACATGCATCTATAAACTCACCACAGTCTTTGCTGAAAACATGCGGGAAGCAGTGCAGAAGTCCATATCCACATCTGCAGTACGAGCATCCTTTCTGAACCCATTCTCCATGTGGAATCACACCACAATCACTGGCAAAATAAACACACACAGTCATTTAAAAACCTTGTGCAGCCATACGGCTCAATCCTGACGTCATTTAATTACCTGAGGCGCTCGTCGTATTCGCAGCTGCGGCCGGTGAAGTGCTTCGGACAGGCGCAGAAGCTTCCCAAAATGCACGTTCCACCATTCTTGCAGCAGGTACGGCTTTGTTTAGCAACTGAAATGAGAAACAGCAGAATAAAGATGTTAAATACAAGGATGCAAACGCAAAACAGCAGCCCCTTCCTACAAAATTTATGACGTGTAATCTAAACAGCTGCTACCAACATCTGTTTCCCAACACAACACAAACCATCCAGACACTGTGCGGGCCGTTACGCCTGACAACACTGGAATTCCCATTAATAAATGGATAGAAAATGCACGTTTTCTACTTCATGCACATTGCTTACTCTGGTTTGTGTTTGTAAGTGCCGTGCAATTAAAGTGCAACAGATAATTCTAGAATTGTGATGCTTTCCTCTGTATTTTTTGTCATTTTACAGTGCAAATGTCCAAAGATGCTTAAATCAAGATACATTTACACTGAAAAAAAAAATGTATACTAATTTTTTCTTTTAAGTAAGTGGTTGCAAACAATTCATTTTAGCTGCATTTAAATAAAAAAGTTGAAAGTTAGTCAACTAAATTTGTTTAGTTTAAATGTAGCTAAAATACATTGATTGCAACCACTTACCTTAAAAAATGTAGTAAATTCAATTAATAATTTTTTTTTCAGTATACTTGAGAAGCATAATGCCATAAAGAGATCTTTATGAGATCAAAATGAGTTTATGGTTAAAACAAGAACAAATATCTGACAGTAGGTTCAGAAAAATCAACTTAATTTAAAATGTAAACAATTTTTAATACACAATTTTTTAAAAGTTTTAGTACACAATTGACATTCTTAAATAAAGATAACTTGACATATCAAGTCTTGTTTTTTGGAAAAAAAAGTATCAAAATTAAGCTAATTAATGCTTAAAGCTAAAAAACAAAATATTGACAGATATCTGTCCTTTTTTTTAAAAAGCATGAACTCATTTAATTTTGTTCCATTTGCCATGTTTAGATATTTGCATTGGAAAAGAAAACAAAAATACTGGGGTTAGATATTCTTTTTTCCTTTTTTGTTTTTGCAGTGCATGCAATATATAATTCCATGACTTTATGAATGTAAGACTTTCTGCTCCTTCTAAGGCCTTGATTTATTAGGATCCATAAGAAAAAAATAGTGTAAAACAAAAATACACAATTAAATTCAAAGACAAATCAAGTAACGTGTTGAATTATAGCCTAAGTGAAATTTTGACTGAAAAAAAAATGACAAAGTTTTATTTTAAATAATAATAAAATAAAACGATAATAATAGTATTTTTTAAATAGTAATTAAAATGTACTCCAATAATATTTATTTACAAAAAAATGTTTTCAGTGTGGTAATGATGATCTCACCTCCGGTCAGTCCTATGAAAGGTAGCACGGCCTCGGCGTTGTGGGGTTGACGTTGCGGCGTTTGCGTGTTCATTTCGTTGAACTTATTCAAGAATTCCGCGTGTTGTTTTGGCTTTCCAGAGACTCCAGCTTTCCCACATTCTGCTCCTTCACATCCTGGGAGAAAAACGCGAATCCATGTTATAAAGGAGCGATGAAAACCCAAACGCCTATGGATATAAACAACGTAAAAACCCGACTTTTACCTGATTCAGACGAAACCGCCTGAGAGACCACCACAGCAGACAGAAAGAACCTGTAGGTAAGAATAGCAAATGTGAGAGGCATGAGGAGAAAGACAAGCGATTCGATTATTCCAAAACGAATCGTGAATCACTTGCTCACCCGAATAGTTTATTCATAATTCCTCTCGCTAGAAAAACACCCGATCTGCTCAGCACTGATCCAACAGCATCAAAACATTCCCAGTGTCACCATCGCAAACCAAATGACCAGAACACCCTCTGCTGGGTCTGTTATTTATCTTTAGGGCTTCAGACTCCCTCATGACGCGCCATTAACACCTGTAAACCCCTCCCATAGTCACCCGCTATTGCAAATCAGCGTCCATTCATATTAGTTCCGTCAGTCAAACCGGTTTGAAGCGAATCGATTCTCTTCAGTATCACAGAGAAGCGATTAGAGGCTCAATCTGCGCCCGAACGCCTCAAAGCACTTTGATGCTCTGTAATGCGGGATTGTACCAAGCATCTTTGTTTCTCAAGTGAAAAACATTTAGATTATAGACTTTAGTCAGGGTAGCGCCATATTTATTTTGTGATAGAAATGAAATTGAGGCTGTGAGGGACAGAAGTGCAGTGAGTGGAAAACAACAACAACTTAAAAGTGGACAAAAACTCCATAAAAAGTTTTGAAAGTTGTAAAAATGATATGATCCGGGACTTTTATACAGTGCGTAGCTTACCATTGTAAAGTCAACTCTATCCCTCTCAGCCTTGTTACATTCAAAAGGCTATATAGACAAAAAATATTTGCTAAAATATGTTTTAGTAAATATATTTTACATTTAGGATTTTTTTGTATATATATAAATATATGTATATGTTTTAATTCTAAAAATATAAACATATATTAAAAAAAAAAAAAAAGCATTTAAAAATACATTTTGCTCTTCATATATTTAAATCCAAGAAAATACAATCACTGTGCCACTTTTGATGAAAAACTTTATTTGTTGTCTATGAACATATAACACATTTGAATAAAAATCAGCAAAGAACATACCTTACAATGTAAACAAAATACAATATAAATAAAAAATAAACATTATTAAGTCAATATAAATCTAATTTTGATAGAGGCCGTTTCATTCACATTTAGGCATTTAGCCTAAATGTAGGCTATACTGTAAGATTGAGAATGTAGTTTCTTGCCTCAGAAATACTTTTTGAAAAATATTTTTGCATGTGAAGGTTCAAAGTAAACATTTTCTATTTCAAAAATATATTTTTCACTGTTCACTGTTCATTTTACACTGTTTGTAACATATATTTAGCAGATATTTAATACATTTTGGCTAGAAAAAAAATTTGCCATATGGTTTAGATCATTACTTAGTGACTTAACTACTTAATTATTTATTCGGACTATTTTCATGATTTATTCTGGCTTCTTGTTTTTGTCTGGATTCCAGCTCAGTTCATTCAATCAAAAGGACAATCAAAGTTTTTAAGCTCAGACACATAAATGAAGTCAAACTTTTGCTAGTGCATAAATTTTTCCTTTCACAGTTCTATTAACTCACATATTTATTTATTCCGTACCTATTTTTCATTCAATGCAAATTTACATAATTTATTCATAATACTTGGACAATCCAGTGCACAGCACCTATGCAGCTGCTTTTGCCTATAAGTGTACCTTTTCATTGCACATTGTTTTTGTTTATATTGCATTTATTTGTGTGTTTATGTGTTGTTTTTATTGTCTAGATGTAGTAAAGGGCATATCTTATCTCTTAATTTGAAAACCTGATATAAATATCAAATTATTGTTGAAGTAGTTTGGTGTTTGTTGAGGCACAGTCTGACCTGTGCTTCCAGAATAATTCTCAATTGCTGCGGTTTCTTATTTGTTTATGACATTTTTGCATGAAAATCATATGAGTTCTCTGGTGAGTTTGTTCCCACAGGCTGACATTTCCAAAGGAACGGCAGCAGGTATATATAACCGCCGAACACCTAAAGTAATTAGAGGAAGTTTTCTTTGAGGATTTTTTGGTGTTTGATGCGGTTTGCTTCTTTAAAGAGGAGTGTAAAGCACAGCAGCCGCATCCCGCTCTATTTCTGTTCATATGCTTTGTTATTGGTTTCTAATTAGCCGATTCCTCTTGGAGCCCGAGAGGTGAAGAACTTTCAAACGTTTTAGTTTGCCATTCTTTCGTTTCAACTACACAACCAGAAACTTCAAATACACTTCGGTATATGTGCCCTGGTTTCTCTCTCTTCATAAATCTGAACTCAATTTTAAATTAATGTCTTTAAATAGAAAAAGCATAATATTATCTAAATGCAAGTTTCAGTGATGGACCTGTCCTGTTTTACATTTCACATTTAATGTATGTCTGCCTTTTGCATAATAAAAAAACAGTTAATTTAGTCTGGTGGGAAAAATCATCCTTTTAAAAAGAAATTGCATGCAAATTACATGGCTCAGGTTGATGCATTTTTCATTTCCAGGCACAATGCATCACTGCTGGGAGCGCTTTTCTTGTAGTGCCATTAACGTTTTTGACATTCATGCCAACATTTCCTCTAATTGTCGCTGAGAATTGTTTCTCAACAGAGCAGCCGCTCTGTGCATCTATAGAGGAATGATCTTTAACGCAGACGTCGACCAGTTGCTAAATAAAGTTGATGGAGTGTGTGACGCAGGCCAAACCTGAAAGGCTAAAGGTCAGACTGAATGCTTTTCATGTTGTGCTTGACATTATAGATGCTGCTATATTGCATGAGCAAGAGCAAGAGAACCATGACCTTTTTATGAAATTAATTAAAAATAAATCTATTAAAAATAATGTTCAGTCATTGAAATAAAGCTAGAATTAAAAAAAAAAAATGCTTAAAAAACCTAAACCAAAATTAGGAACTTTGCCTTGGCAAATGAAATAAACTTAAATATGCAATAAATATGTTTGAAATAAATAAGTTGAAGTTGAATAAATAAGTTGAAAATGGCTAAAAGAAATATTTTAAAAAGAATAAAAAAGTCAAAAGCGCATCACGATCTGTTGTTACTTTTAACTAAAATGTTTTCAGTAATTGAAATGAAGCTAGAATTAAAATAAAATGTTGTTTAGGACAATTACTGAAATAAACACATTTAAGTTGAAGTACTAAAATGACTAAAACTGAAATAAAAAGAAATAAAAGATAAATAGAAATATTTAAAACAAACAAATTAATAAAAATGGTAAAAGCACATCACTTATCAGTGTTGTTATTAATGACTAAAATTAAAACTAATAAAAATTGTTTTCAGTAATAGAAATAAAGCTGGAAAAAATATTACATAGAAAAACTTAAAATTGAAAAACTGAAATGTTTAAGCTAAAATGACTCAAACTGAAATAAAAAATAAACTAAATAGAAATATTAAAAAAACAAAAATAACAAAAGCACATAACAAAATTGCTAAAACTTATACTAAAATTAAAATGAAAACTGAAAATATAAAAATAAAAGCTAATTCAAAATATTAAACAGTAAATATAGTATATAACTAATACTAAAATAACTTATTATTGTTCATATTTAGGGTTCATGATTGAAAGTACATATACATTCACAAATAAATAAACATTACAAATACATTATCACAGATGATAAAACAAATAAAAAAAAAATAAACTAAATCCATATCTACTCAGAACACCCTAGCAACAGCTTAGCAACCGTATATCAATGTCCTGTCAACCACCAAAACACTTTAACATAGCAGCAAATTTATTTATTTATTTCTAGTTTATTTCATATGCAATTTAATTTGGATTTCATTTGCTTGATTTAATGCAAAGCAGAGTTCATAAATGCATGCATTCTGTGTTTGCTAATGGGCTAAAGAGGTTTAATTAGATAATTCATTCACATAAAGAAGGATTAAATCGCTTGCACTAATGAGCAGCGAGTGAGCGGCCGAGGTCACGAGTCTCTGCGCTGCGCTGCTGTCTTCAGCTCGACTGTGGAGCTGCGCTTTTGTTACAGATGCAGAAGGAGTCAAAAGGTGGTTTATTCTTTCTGCTCACAGGTACATTTCTGTTTCTGGTACGGCTGACAGTCTGTCATGTTGCTGCCAGGGGAATGTGTGAGGTAATTAGAGTAGCAGAGGTGGGCAGCGAGACGCCCATTTGAGGGGACAAATTCAGATTAAATGTGCCTGCTTGTACTGTTCACTTGTCTTTTAAATTAGACGACTATTCAAATGCAATTGCTAGGAAATAGTAAGTGATGTTTGCCTGTGCACAACATAAAGGTTCCTCCATTAATATCCGTCTGTGGGAAGTTTCCTACCTGGTTTATGGTCCGACAGGTGAAAATTATGAAAAACAAAACAAAATAAAAAAACATAGTATTGGTATGCTGAAATTATTTGAAGTAGAAGTAGCAACCAGAACACCCTAGCAGCCACCTAACCCTACCCGGGACACTCTAGCAACTGCATAGCAACGACCTAGCAACCACCCAGGGTAGCCTAGCAACTGCCCAACAACCCCCTAAATCAATCTAGCAGCTACCCAGAGCACAATTGTATTCCAATGCCCTAACAACCACCCATAACACCCTAACAACCATCCAGTGTAGTCTAGCAACCACCTAGCAACCATCCAGAACCCCCTAGCTACTGCCCAGGACACAACTATATAGCAGTGCCATAGCAACCACTTATAATATCCTAGCAACTGCTTAGCAACCACCCAAGACCACTCTAGAAACTGAATAGCAACACCCAAGCAACCTCCCAGAGCAGCCTAGCACCCAGGACACAATTGTATAGCAATGCCCTAGCAACCAACCAGAACACCCCAGCAACTGTCTATCAACTGCATAGCAACGTGCTAGCAACCACCCAGAACAGCCTAGCAACCACCTAGCAACCCCCCAGAACTGTCTAGCAACTGCCCAGGACACAACTGTATAGCAGTGCCCTAGCAACCACCCATAACACCCTAGTAACCATCTAGCAACAGCCCAGGGCACTCTAGCAACTGCATAGCAACGCCCTAGCAACCACACAGAACACACTAGCAACCACCTAGAAACCATCCAGAACACTCTAGCAACTGCCCAGGACACTATTTTATAGCAATGCCCTAGCAGCCATCCTGAACACCCTAGCAACTGCATAGCAACCACCAAGAATACTCTAGCAACTGCCCAGGACACAGTTGTATAGCAGTACCATAGCAACCACCCATAACACCCTAGCAACTGTCTAGCAACGGCCCAGGGCACTCTAGCAAGATACTAGCAACCATCCAGAACACTCTAGCAATTGCCCAGGACACAATTGTATAGCAATGCCCTAGCAACCATCCTGAACACCC